TTCAATGTAATTTAACATTTTGAATATGTAAACTCCAATCCAAAGCTGAAACTATATAATAGGTGTATGTATATGTAGGTATATCCCTTTCACCTCCCACTTTTTCCTTTCCTCCCCCTATCCAAAACCAGTTGGTGTTGAGTGGACTCTGGCTCTTGGTGACCCCATGTGTGTCAGAGTAGAACTGTGCTCCACAGGGTTTTCAGTGGCTGAAGTAGATCACCAAGCCTTTCTCCTGAGGACCCTCTGGGCGTACCCAAACCTCAGCCTTTCTATTAGCTGAGTCCACTAACTGCACCACTCAGGGACTTCAACCATTTTTATTTGTCTATGATTTGTCTTTCCTATAAATACTAGTATTTCCCCTCCTTCCTACACAAAAAGTAGCATACAGCTATATACTGTTCTGCACTTTGCTTGGTATGGATTACAATCCATGTCAGTGATTAAACTTTTCCTCATTGCTTTTTATGGCTGTATAGTACTCTATTGTATGGCTGTATTTCAGCTTATTTAACCAGTTCTCTGAACAATGAACATATAGGGTTTAAAAAAAATTCTATATACACATACTGCCCCAACGAATGGTCTTGTATAAACATAATTTTTAATGGTTTCAGAATGTGCCTGACCTCACCCACTCACCAGTTTTCAAAGCAGTTGATGAAACCCCATCTTCTACCTTCTGCTCTGAATTCTTGAGTGAGGCTCTGAATCATACATCCAAGATCCAACCTCAGTCTGCTTTGCCTTGAGCTCCAGGATTAGGATCTCCACTTCCCCAGGGGACCTGATTTGGTTCCTCCCCAGCTCTCAGTATCCCCTGTGGGTCTGAGTAGAAATGCCTGCAGGAACCCACTGAGCAGCCCTCCCCTTGCCTAGCTTCCTTCTGCAGGAATTTGGAGATGTTATACCACAGTTTAGTTTGTCATTCCCCAACGGTTTTTTGTTTGTTTTGTTTTACTTTTTATTATGAAAATTTCAAACACATGGGAAAACAGAAAGACTGGGACACTGAAAACCCAATACACTCCACTCAGATTTGTTGTTAGGTGTCACTGAGTTGGTTCTGACTCATAGCAACACTGTGTACAACAGAACAAAACACTGCGGGGTCCTGTGCCATCCTCACAATCATTGCTATGTTTGAGCCCACTGTTGCAGCCACTGTGTCAATCCATCTCCTTGAGGGTCTTCCTCTTTTTCACTGACCCTCTGCTTTAGCAAGCATCATGTCCTTCTCCAGGGACGGGTCCATCCTGATAACGTGCAAAGTATGTGAGACGAAGTCTTGCCATCCTTACTTCTAAGAAGCATTCTGTCTGCATTTCTTCCAAGGCAGATTTGTTCGTTCTTCTGGCAGTCCATGGTATAGTCAATGTTCTTTGCCAACACCATAATACAAAGGCATCAGTTCTTCAGTCTTCCTTATTCATTGTCCAGCTTTCACACGCATATGAGGTGATTGAAAACACCATGGCTTGGATCAGGCGCACCTTAGTCCTCAAAGTGACGTCCTTGCTTTTCAACACTTCAAAGAGGTCTTTTGCAGCAGATTTGCCGAACACAATGTGTCATTTGATTTCTTGACTACTGCTTTCATGGGTGTGGATCCAAGTAAAATGAAATTCTTGATAACTTCAGTTTTTCTCCGTTTATCATGATGTTGCTTATTGGTCCAGTTGTGAGGATTTTTGCTTTCTTTATGTTAAGGTGTAATTCATACCAAAGACTGTAGTCTTTGATCTTCAGCAATAAGTGCTTCAAGTCCTCTTCACTTTTAGCAAGCAAAGATGTGTCATCTGCATATCACAGGTTGTTAGTGAGTCTTCTTCCAATCCTGATGCCGGCTTCTTCTTCACATAGTCCAGTTCTTGGATTATTTGCTCAGCATACAGATTGAATAGGTATGGTGAAAGGATACAGCCCCAATGGACACCTTTCCTGATTTTAAACCACACAGTGTACCCTTGTTCTGTTCGAATGACTGCCTCTTGGTCTATGTACAGGTTCCTCAGGAGCACAATTAAGTGTTCTGGAATCCCCATTCTTTGCAATGTTATCCATAATTTGTTATGATCCACACAGTTGAATGCCTTTGCATAGTCAATAAAACACAGGTAAACATCTTTTTGGTATTCTCTGCTTTCAGCCAAGATCCATCCGACATCAACAATGATATCGCTTGTTCCAAGTCCTCTCTGAATCCCTCTTGAACTTCTGGCAGTTCCCTGTCCATGTACTGCTGCAACCGTTTTTGAAAGATCTTCAGCAAAATTTTACTTGTGTGTGGTATTAATGATATTATTCGATAATTTCCACATTCTGTTGTGTCACCTTTCTTTGGAATGGGCACAAATATGGACCTCTTCCAGTTGGTTGGCCAGGTAGCTGTCTTCCAAATTTCTTGGCATAGGCGAATGAGCACCTCCAGCATTGCATCCATTTGTTGAAACATCTCAGTTGGTATTCTGTTAATTCCTGGAGCCTTGTTTTTTACCAATGCCTTCAATTGGTCGACTTCCTTCAGTGCCATCAGTTCTTGATCATATGCTACCTTCTGAAATGGTTGAACATCGACCAGTTCTTTTTGGTACAGTGACTCTCTGTATTCCTTCCATCTTCTTTTGATGCTTCCTGCATCGTTTAATATTTTTCCCGTAGAATCCTTTGATGTTGCAACTCGAGGCGCTTGAATTGTCTCTTCAGTTCTTTCAGCTTGGAAAATGCCGAGCATGTTCTTCCCTTTGGTTTTCTAACTCTAGGTGTTTGCACATTTCATTATAACACTTTACTTTGTCTTCTCGAGCTACCCTTTGAAATCTTTTGTTCAGCTCTTTCAGCTCTTTTACTTCTCGTTTCTTCCTTTAGCTTTAGCTACTCTACTTTCAAGAGCAAGTTTCAGAGTCTCTTCTGACATCCATTTTGGTCTTTGCTTTCTTTTCTGTCTTATTAATGATCTCTTGCTTTCTTCATGTATGATGTCCTTTATGTCATTCCACAACTCTTCTGGTCTCCGGTCATTAGCGTTCAGTAAGTCAAATCTATTCTTGAGATGATCTCTAAATTCAGGTGGAATATACTCAAGGTCATACTTTGGCTCTCGTCGACTTGTTCTAATTTTCTTCATCTTCAACTTGAACTTGCATATGAGCATTGATGGTCTGTTACACAGTTGGCCCCTGGCCTTGTTCTGACTGATGATATCGAGCTTTTTCATCATCTCTTTCCACAGATGTAATAGATTTGATTCCTGTGTGTTCCATTTGGTGAGGTCCATGTGTATAGTCACCGTTCGTGTTGTTGAAAAATAGTATTTGCAATGAAGAAGTCATTGGTCTTGCAAAATTCTATCATGCCATCTCCAGCATCGTTTCCGTCACCAAGGCCATATTTTCCAACTACCAATCCTTCGTTTCCAACTTTTGCATTCCAATCATCAGTAATTATCAATGCATCTTGATTGCATGTTTGATCAATTTCAGACTGCAGAAATTGATGAAAATCTTCATTTTCTTCATCTTTGGCATTAGTGGTTGGTATGTAAACTTGAATAACAGTCATATTAACTGGTCTTCCTTGTAGCGATATGGATATTATCCTGTGACTGACAGCATTGCAGTTCAGGATAGATCTTGAAATATTCTTTTTAACGATGAGTGTGATGTCATTCCTCTGCAATTTGTCATTCCCAGCATAGTATACCATATCATTGTCTGATTCAAAATGGCCAATACCAGTTCATGTCAGCTCACTAATGCCTAGAATATCAATCTTTATGTGTTCCATTTCATTTTTGACAACTTCCAATTTTCCTAGATTCATACTTCATACATTCCATGTTCCGATTATTAATGGATGTTTGCAGCTGTCTCTTCTCATTTTTTGTCGTGCCGCCTCAGCAAATGAAGGTCCCAAAAGCTTGACTCCATCCAAGTCGTTAGGGTTGACTTTACTTTGAGAGGAAACCCTGTGGCATAGTGGTTAAGAGCTATGGCTGCTAACCAAAAGTCAGCAGTTTGAATCCACCAGGTGCTCCGTGGGGCAGTTCTACTCTGTCCTATAGGGTCACTATGAATCGGAATCGACTCGACGGCAACGAGTTTGGTTTTTTGGTTCTACTTAGAGGAGGCAACTCTTCCCCAGTTATCTTTTGAGTACCTTCCAACCTGAAGGGCTCATCTTCTGGCACTATCTCAGACAATATTCTGCTGCTATTCATAAGGTTTTCACTGGCTAATTTTTTTCAGAGGTAGACCTCCAGGTCCTTCTTCCTAGTTTGTCTTAGTATGGAAGCTCAGCTGAAACCTGTCCACCATGGGTGACCCTGCTAGTATTTGAAATACCAGTGGCGTAGCTTCCAGTGTCACAGCAACACACAAGCCACCACAACATGACAAACTGACAGTAGTATGGGGACCCAGGTTTAAAAATTAACATTTTGCCGTATTTGATTTATCTATGTATATTTTTTCCTGAACTATTTTAAAGAAGAACTATAGACATCATGATGCTTCACATTGATGTGCTTTGGCATACAACCCCCAAAATAAGGATATTCTCTATCATAAACACCATTATCACACCTGACAAAGTGCATAATAATTTTCTAATTTCTAATACCCAGTCCATATTGAAATTTCTCTTGTTGTTTAAAAAATATCTTTTATAACTTTTTTTTTTTTTTTTAAATCCTGGATCCAATCAAGTACCAGGGACTGCATTTGGTTGTTATGTCTCTTTTTAGAACAGGTCGCTTCCCATGCCTCTTTTTATTTTCATCAAACTGCCTTGTGGAAGAGGCCTGGCCAGTTGTCCTGAGCATGTCTCACTTTCTGGGTTTGTCTGTTTCCTCATTCCTTTACCCCTTGTGTTGTTCCCTTCTTTGTTTTTTTTCAAGTTTTGTTCACTCCATTTGGTCTCTTTTTTTTTTTTTTTAAGTTGTGTAAAACGTTCAATTTATTTGTCTTTTGGGGGGAATGTGATGTATCACCATTGAATTACAACTGAGCCATTAATCTTGTAGCCTCGTCAGCGTTAACTGGTTCGTTTTCTTGATGCTGCTGAGGAATCAGTTGTTTCTGCAGAGGTTGAAGGGAAAGGCCGTCTGAGAAGTGTGCTAGTTCCTTTTGTGTATCTGCAAAAGCTTTATTTACTCTGTTCACTTTTTCATCATTCACAGTATTTTTTTTTCTTAAGATTTGTGATAACTGATTTTGCTTTGTTTCTAAACTTAAATTGTTTTTGGCTCACTGTGAGAAGTTCTGTACCAGACTTCTGCCCTCTTAGTTTATTCTCGGCCATTGTCTTCGATACCTTCGTGCAGCTGCTCAGGCTCCCGATGGCTCCCATCTGCCCATTGGTTTGTTTTGATCTCTTTCCTAGAGAGGTTTCCCACTAATGTCGGTGACCCTGAGCTGATTGGAAGCTCTGTGCCGATTACCAAGTGCTTACCTCACTGTAGGTCAATCCTTATTGTCCGGGTCCTATATTCAGAGGTCACATTCCCCAAGAAGACACTGCCAAATTTCCTGCATGGAGGGTGTATGACTGTGAGCCGGTCAGGGAGGAAGCTCCCCCTGTTTTTCCGACTGGACACACGGTTACTGTTGTTTCTCAGACCAGAGGCCTCTGCTTGTTCTGTCCAGAGAATAAATCTCTAGTCTTCTGCTGAGGTAAGGAATCCTGTGGTGCAGTGGTTAAAGCCATCGATTGCTAACTGAAAGGTTGGTGGTTGGAAGCCGCCAGTGGCTCCATGGGAGAAAGATGTGACAGTCCGCTTCCGTAGAGATTTACAGCCTTGGAAGCCCTATGTGGTCGCTAGGAGTCGCAATCAACTTGACGGCAGTGGGATTTTGGGTGTGCTGGGGGTAGGGGCGAGACTGTCACCCAGGAGAGGGGATCTGGGGTCTAAGGGCTTCTTTTTTTTTTTTTTTATTGTACTTCAGGTGAAGGCTTACAGAACAAATAGTTTCTCATGAAACAGTAGTACACATGTTGTTTTATGACATTGGTTAACAACCCCACAACATTTTAACCCTCTAAATTCTCAACCTTTTTTTTTTTTTTGGTGAAAATACACATAGCCAAAGATACACCGTTTCAAAAATTTCTACATACACAGTTCAGTGACATTGACTATGCTCTTCCAATTGTGCTGTTATTCTCACTTAAGATGAAGGCTTACAGAACAAAATAGTTTCTCATTTAACAGTTACGACAAATCTAAGGGCTTCTTAACCAGCCTTTCTACCAGTTCTTCTGCTTTGGCTCCACCTTCAGCACTACTGCCTAAGAGACCTGCTGCCACTAATTCCTGGGCCTCTGTGGGGCGCTGTGTGAAAGAATCACTGTTTTTTTCTACCTGCTGGTTTATAATTTGGCCTTCTTGGAACTGCCTAAATCACTCACCATTTCTCCACCTGCTTTCCAGCTTCCAAAATTGCTATTGCTGTTGTCTCTGCTCCTGTTCTTCTTGACCCTGTGGGTTCCTATCCTTCAGAAATTTCTTTACCAATGCTTCAGAGGAGTGTGAGAGGGAGCAGGAGTAAACTGGCCAGCTTTATCCATTCTTTGGCTTGTGAAAATGGCTTTGATGAGCCATAGCAGGGCCCCTGGGCATTCAGGTATAGGCGAGGGCAATGCCAAGAGGAAGCTGAGTTGCTCAGCATTACAACTGAGGAGAAATCTGAATTTCTGGAGAGAAGTCAGGGGTCTGAGAGTAGGAGAAAAGGGGAAGATATGAGAAAGGTGCAGTTCTGACAAGGGTCTGGAGAGTGGAGCCAAGGTGATGGAGGTAAGTTAGGGCATGAGAAAGGAAAGGGAGCCGATGAAGACATCCCTGTGGGGGGAGCTGGCTGGAAAGCCTTGGAATGGAAATGCCTAATAATCAACTTGTGGTGTTGTTGGTGTTATCTCTCCCTATCTACTTCCCCTTTCCTTTCTCTTTTAGTAGTTTACATCTGGGCACGTTGCCACGTGGGGTAAAAAAAGAGCACATTTCCCAGCTTCCCTTGCAGTTAGTCATGGTCATGTGACCAAGCTGTGGCCGATAAATGTAAGTAGAAGCGTTATGTTGGAATCCCAGGAAAGCTACTCAAATGGAGTTTGTTCAGCTGGGATAATCTCTTTCTGTCCATCTATGTTTACTTCTTCTTCCAGTCTGCAGTTTGGATACCATGACTGGAGCTCCAGCAGTTAACTTGTGCCATGAAGTAACCTTGAGGAGGAGAGAGAAAGATAGGAGTCTGGGTCTAATGATACCATGTAGTTGCCATATCAGCTCCAGACTGCTTACCTCTGCTCTTATGATTATTGTATTTAATATAAAAGGTAAATAAAAATATTTTTCTGCTTTATTATAATAATAAAAAAAAAACCAGTTGCCATCGGGTCAATTCCAACTCATGGTGACCCCATGGGTGTCAGAGTAGAACTGTGCTCCATAGGGTTTTCAATGACTGATTTTCTGAAAGTGGCTCTCCAGGCCCTTCTTCAAAGGCACCTCTGGTGAACTTGAACTTCCAACATTTTGGTTAGCAGCCTGGGCAAGTTAAACATTTGCACCACCCAGGGACTCTATCATAACAATGCCCACTAGTTATCACATGTTAGTACTCTTCTAAGTACTTGACTTATATACTAACTCACATCAATCCCGTTTTTTTGTTGTTAGGTGCCACTGAGTTGGTTCTGACTCATAGCGACCCTGTGTACAACAGAGTACTGTCCAGTCCTGCATCATCCTCACAATCGTTGTTATGCTTGAGCCCATTGTTGCAGCCACTGTGTCAATCCATCTCCTTGAGGGTCTTCCTCTTTTTCGCTGACCCTCTACTTTACCAAGCATGATGTCTCTGGGGACTGACCCCTCGTGATAATATGTCCAAAGTATGTGAAATGAAGTCTTGCCATCCTTGCTTCTAAGGAGCATTCTGGCTGTACTTCTTCCAAGACAGATTTGTTTGTTCTTTTGGGGGTCCATGGTATACTTAGTATTTTTCGCCAACACTGTAATTCAAAGGCATCTGTTCTTCTTCGTCTTCCTTAATCATTGCCCAGCTTTCACATACATATGAGGCGATTGAAAACACCATGGCTTGGGTCAGGCACACCTTAGCCCTTAAAGTGACATCTTTGCTTTTTAATTTTAAAGAGGTCTTTTGCAGCACATTTGCCTAATGCAATGTGTCATTTGATTTCTTGACTGCTGCGTCCATGAGTGTTGGTTGTGGATCCAAGTAAAATGAAATCCTTGACAACTTCAGTCTTTTCTTCGTTTATTATGATGTTGCTTATTGATCTAGTTGTGATGTGCCCCGCCCTGTGAAGGAAGGAGTTTCTGGCTGTGACCAGCAGTGGAGCAAGCAGAGGCCCGAGGAGAAGCAGAGACTGGAGGAAGGAGCCAGGGGGCCTGGAAAGGCAGGGAGATGTGGGCAATCAAGAGCAGATGGGAAACGAAGCCCCCTTTTTCCAAATATATTAGAGGAAAGTGACAGAGAGAGACACTTGAGTTCATGCATATAAACATTTCCAACATTTAGCATCATTTCCCAGGACTGATTCCCAGGTTGGGCTGTGGTACATCTTGACTTCGTCTGAATTGAATTGATGAAAGGATTCTTTAGCCAATTTCAGATGCTCTATTCATTATGAATTTAAAAAAAAAATCCTCATATATTCTAGTATATGTCTGGCAGGGAAAATTAGGGGCCAAATTTTAAGATACTAATAAGAGGGTGTGGCACTATAAAACCGTCTTTATTAATTGAATTAATCAGAGACAAGAGATACAAAGTGTTAAAAAGAGAGACAGATGAGCGCGTGCTGTAGTTACTCTTTTGATTAGCGAGGAGGCTCAAGAAGCTGTAGGGCTTGTTTGGGCTGCCCCTCTTGGTACCTGATCTCTGAAAATTCAATGCTCAGGAGCATAAATTTCAGTCCTTGTTCCCAAGCTGCTTGTAAATAAACCAACCTCAAGGACACCTATGTCAGCTTGAGGTGTTTGAGGCAGAGAGTTTGAGCTCCCTCTAATTAGCAGGGCATTGTGGGTCTGAGCCAGGTGAGTCAGCTTGCCCTGGGTCATTAGGCCGCTCCCAGGAGCTTGTCTCCTGGCCACGGAAGTGAGGAGACCATGGAGCTGGGGGACCTCATGAGGAGGGTGTGGCTTGCGTGGGAGTTTTCAATGCTAGACATCGAAGGAGGATGGGTGGTACAAATGATTAAGTGCTAGACTACTAACTGAAAGGTTGGCAGTTCAAACCCATGCAGAGGTGCCTCGGAAGACAGGCCTGGTGATCTGCGCCCTACGGAGGACCCTATGGAGCAGTTCTACTCTGCACACATGGGCTCACCATGAGTGGGAACTGCCTCGAGGGCAACTAATGACAACAACAACAAAAATAGCACCATGTTGTAGGATACTCATCTGCCCTGAGTTTCTCCCTCATTCTTAATAAAGATACAAAATATAATGAGGCTAATGGGCCCCGCATTTGGAATGCAAATCTGGCCTGCAGAGCCACATCCTGGCAGAGCTACAAGGAGGAAGACAGTTGCAGCCGCTCGCACCAGAGGGTTCCTTCACAAAGTTTCCCCAGGAGAACCTTAGGATCTCTGCCCACAGCTCTTCCTCTCCTACTGGGGGCTGGCGACGGCCTGGAGGAAATCCAGCCAAAGCTGGATTGCTGCAAGAAACAAATAGTGTCCCCCAGGAGCTTTGCTGAAAAGAGTCCAAACTGGACTCTCAGAGAGAAGTAGAGAAAATGAAAATATAAGTGAACCATAGTTTCAGACAGACTTGGAGTTTGGAAGATAACTCAGCCTACCTGTGCTAATCTGAGAATTGCTCTGATAGCTCACTGAATATTTGTTAACTTTTTAAGTCATCACCTGAGAGAAACACTGCTGAGGTGTATCTAAGGTATGGCAGGTAGGGCACGTGCCACGGGGGTATTTCTGGGAGGGGGGGCGCCAATGAGCAGTTTCTATTGACCATCGCAATTTCCACTGGAAACTGCAACTGCCACTGGAATCACAACAGAGGGTCCCAGGCAGAGCAGGAGAAAAATGTAGAACAGAAATCAAATCCATAAAAAAGACCAAACTTACTGGTCTCATAGAGACTGGAGGAACCCCTGAGACTATGGCCCTAAGACACCCTTCTAAGGTAGAACTGGAGCCATTCCTGGAGACCACCCACCTTTCAGCCAAACAGACGTGCCTACTAAATAAACAGTAACACCTCAGAAGACCAAGCCCCTTAGAACAGTTAATTATATGAGACCAGTGGGACAACATCTGCC